GAAACCCTCTCGGCCAACGCCGGGGTCGACCCCCAGTAGTGAACCAACGTCTTACTTACGAAGAGGGTTGATATTTGATTCGTCATCTATGGGATATACAACCTTAGTTATTTTCAGAATTTCTCCACCTGCCCGTTCACATTGATTTCTCAAGCTCGCGAACATATTGCATTTATTCCGTATTTGAGTTGGGTCTTGGGGGATTTGTAAATTGCTGGATTATTTTAAAACTTGTTGGACGATGGTCTTCGGCATTAGTTTCATAAGTAGTTCGGGTGGGCTTGAAATGACAATTCTATACGAGTAATGCTCCGTTGGTGTATCTTTAACCTTAGACAAATAACTAAAACAAAGTCGTTCAGCATCGTAAATTAATTGAATTCGATTTAAATATAGGATAGCATCTCACCCATACAAGTTGAATATTTTTAATGAGAAATATCGAACAGAATTTGGTCGTTTTAAGAACAAATAATTAGGACTGCAAGGATTTAATTCATTTTCACTACACACAAACATTCAATTCAAGGTAGCACTACACACCGACATAAATTGTTCAATTTAAGGAAGCACTACAATATTTACAATATTTCCGTGTAGAAATTCACGATTCTTTCAAATGGGGAGACGAGAAAGTTCAGCGGGATTTGGCTGCGTTGTTTCACGCTGGTCAGTGATGCAGCAAGCAGTGGCGGCGCCAGCCGTTGGTGGTTGGAGGGGCAAAGCTGGGGCAAAGTCCAAGGTTAAGGGTGCAAAGGCACGGGCTTTAAATAGGGGTGTGGGGGGCTCCCCCAGAAAATTTTGAAAAATAGACTGCCGGAAATGCTGTCTGACAGTATTCAGTCAGGTACCGATCGTCGAGATAAATAGATCTGATGAGATACCGTCTATCGCCTGATATCTAGTTTATCCGACCAGAGAACAATGGCCACGATATTTTGTGAAATAGACTGCTGGAAGTGCAGTCTGGCAGCATTGCATGAGACACTGGTCGTCGAGATAAATAGAGCTGACCAGATACTGTTCGTCGCCAAATCAACAGCTTATCCGAAAAGAGGGACAGGTCACAATTTTTATCCGATTTCAATGAAACTTGAAATATAGGTTTATCACCCTAAGTTCTCGGTTCCTTTCGATATTGGCATGTATCGGACTGTAACTTTATGGATTATGGCCCCTGATTGTACAAAAAATCACGTTTTTAGCTTGTGAACTCTGTAGAGGTCACAATTTTTATCCGATTTGGTTTAAACTTTAAAATTTATGCTTATAACCCAACGATCTCGGTTCCTTTCGATATTCGCGCATATCGGAACGTAACTTCCTGAATTATGGCCCCTGATTGTACGAAAAATCGCGTTTTTAGCATGTGGACCCTATAAGAGGTCATAATTTTTATCCGATTTTAAAAACCGTATTATTATATCACCGTTACACCCTAAGGACGACTGAGTTCGAATTTCGTGAAAATCGGCCCAAAACTGACAGACAAAATGGCCGCCCCTCGTACTCAAGGAGCGTAAAAAAATATGGTATATCAAGGTTGTGGACACTATAGAGGTCACAATTTTTATCCGATTTTGTTGAAACTTGAAATGTAAGTTTATAACCCAAAGATCTCGGTTCCTTTCGATATTTGCGCATATCGAATTGTAATTTCCTGAATTATGACCCTTGATTGTAGGAAAAATCACTTTCTTTTTAGTTTGTTCTCTATCCTTCTCTCTCGAAAATTTGGGCGTATCCTGCCTGGCAGCCGCTGGGTTTTTTATTGGTTCGTAGACTCAAGCCATAATCAAGGACAAAGCAGATAATTTGAACTCGTGGAAACCATATGGATTAACCCAGGGAAGTGGTCCGCAAGCGTTACTCATCGTGTTCTGCCTAACGCTCCGCCAATTCAGTACGACCGACTTAAAACTTGGCATGTGTGTTCGATTGAGGAGTCGATTTTTTTATATGACGTCACAATTCCATGATGGGTTCCTGCTCAAGATAGTACGCTCGTACTCCTACGAATAAATCTACCGAAATAGGACAGAATTAGCACAATAATTATACCGATGTCTTGGGCGAAATCTGATTTATTAATACACATGAATGTTTGCGATATCAAACAAGTGGACATGAAATGTGTATAATTACGCTGTGTAAAGCGTCCAATTGATTTGGTATAATTACGGCTTTATCATCTCTAAGCAGACAACTCGGACTTAAAACTTTCCCGGGTCATTCATTACCTGTCCAGGAAACAGAAGTCATGTATTGATTATTGATTGGACAAGAAGTCGATAACTTCAGGAATTTGAACATAATTACTATATTTATACTGTCCAGTCGCGAAAAAGAAACATTGTTTTTGATTTAAATTTGTTTCGTGAAGAGAGCAGAATCATGCTGCAACGTTACAAGGTGTACTAAAGGGATATTGTTTTTCTGGGCGGGAGGGGGTGCATCAAATACGACCTACGGAGGCCCCCGAGTACCATCCCAGCGTTGGACGAGAAGTTCCTCTGGATTTTCCAGCCTGGTTTCCCTAGTCAGTGGTGCAATGGGGGGGGGGATAGGGAGACACGGGGTCTAGTCGATCGGATAGAACGAAAAATCGAAAATGGTCCCGTGTATACCATTTCCAGCACATTAAAGATCCCGTGATAGTTTTAAGTCTAAATCGAAGTAAATAGTAGGCCACCCTGCTAGCCTCCTCCCCGATGCCTAGCTCGCGAATGGTATTTGTGTTCCGAAAACATTAACCGTACATCCAAGGTGGTTTATAATACGCAAATTTATCCTCCCCCACCCCCAGAAGAACCCAAGAGTAAGCTCCCTTCACTTCGACCCCATTACTTTAATTTCATTAATTTGTGTGAATGTGATAGGTCAATACAGCTAACATCTTGAATCTCTGTAAAGTTTTGAATTGGCGTGTACTGTGTTTGGGGCAGTATCTATTAACTTGTATAACTTAACGGAGTTCAATGGAATAGACTTATTCAGTATTAATAATGCATCATGTAAGGTTTAGATAAAGAGTTGACAGTTCTCATTATAATAGTTTAAAAATAGATAATGAAAAGGAATATATTGAAAATTTCTATCAAATTGCTTCATTCTGAGCGAAGTTGTGAATGTTTGAAAAATAGCGTAGTCTTGATTTTCATTGCTACCGATACCGTTGTGACGATAATAAAGTCTCGATTATCCAGTTTTAAATTAAATTATTAAATAGCGATCATGTTATAATCCGTTCCGTATCATAACCATACGATGACCTAGAGAGTTGATTATGGGCTTGTCATGTGACTAAATGTCTAATTAATAATTTATATAACATTTGAGGCCAAAAGAAAGATCTGGAATAAGCAGATTAGCTCTGGGTCAAAGTTTCAGAGTTAAATAGTAATTTAAATCGGTATGTTTCAATATTCAAATATGGAGATCCTTACAATATTCATTTATGAACGGGATGGCTAAGTGGGTAAGACGCTGGCTCGCTTGCCTGGAGGTCGCGTGTTCGATCCCTGCATTGGCCGACGTGGTTCCCCCTTGCCAGTGGTGCAGGACGGAGGGCCTTACAGCTGTATACATTGGCGTGCACGTAAAAGATCCCTTGGCAGCTGGAATTCGATATAAGAGTAGACCATAGTGCCGCTGCCATGGCCAAATTTACCCTATAGCACACTGTATGGCGTATGTCTGTCTTCATTAGCCCAATCGTGGTAGAACAGTAGGAGGTTAAACCCCATTTCATTTTCTTTCCTCATGTTGTGTTGGATATTTATATGTAACCCCCTTTTCCTCATGTTGTGTTGGATACAACAATATACTTATCAAGAGCCTACACGGGTCTTTTACTTGACAGACGGGCCTTTCCCGAGAATTAGTTTTCTTTATCAAAGGCGAAGATCTCCAATGCGCTATAATCTTTCTTTAGGTCTTGGCATTTGGGAGGTATCTCCTTTTATGAAACTAACATAGAAAATATCATAAAAATACGGACGGACGTGGGGGCTGTCCCCGTGAATACCCTCCACTCCTAACCAGGATCTGATAGACATCTACAATATTATATTATTTTATAATATTTATTTGTTAGTCCAGTCGGGGCAAAACAGTACGACGATACCCTACTTCATTTCATTCACTTTATCTTGGGTATTTCTTTGTCTCAAAAAGAAATCGATACACAGCCCCGATGTTAGCCTGTGTGATTTATTCAAGGAAGCAAATCTTTAAGGTAAGGGAGTCTTGACATGATTCATGTGGGTAGCCATCTATTTTTACACAGTTTCTAACCCACCACATCCTTGCTTCAGTGGGGTTTGGTTATGTTCCTGAAGCAACAACTGTGAGTTTTACAACATATGGACAAGATGTACGGAGTTATTAAAGCGAGATCAAGCCTTCTATTGAAGATGGCGGTTGGGTGATCTCATGATTTAACGCACGTGGTTTAACGCGTGTGCGTGAAAAACTAAGGTCTGTGGTTTCGATTCCCCGCTTGTACATGAGTAGGATCGCATGTCTAGCCTCATTGCTTTTCTCCCGGTCCTCCGGTCCCTCCCCCCCCCCCCACTGCTAAAGACCTTTTTCTCCGCGTCCTCCGGTTCCCCCACCATTGAACCATATGTTAGTCCCGAAACGTCCTAGTTTGTGTCACGTTAAACCCCCCTCTCTCTCTCTCTGAATAAATAGTATTGTTGTTGTTATTGAGAATGAAATTAGATTACTTAATTTCCTGATTTAGTCACTTTAAACTCTTTCTGGGGAAAGCTTATTTAATGTAAATACGAGAGTGTCTCATTTCATTGAAGTTAATGTATAACACATCGAAAAAGTCAGTCTTGTGAATACTCTTTTGTATAAGTACAGTAAAAGCTGACAACCCTATAAATTTAAAATGAGAGAATGTCTAAATTTAGAATTCGTGTTATCCCCATGACATCATTATACATCACTTACTTTAGTTGCACATTATATATACACCAAGTGTATTACTATACAAATATGGCCGAGCTGGTGGTTTTCTGGAAATACGTCTTTCTGTTTACGTTGATGGTATTCCTAGGAAGTGTTCACGATGCTGCTGTTCCACACGGAAAACCGTGCATTAAGCACAATAACAGAATGATATGCTGGTGTTCTCTGAATTATTCTAACGTTAATTGTTCTAGTCAAGGATTAGATTTCATACCCGTTCTACCGAACAATACGACTGTTTTGGACATGAGCAACAACACATTAACTGATCTGAACAGAAACACCACCAAGAACATCACAAATAAACATTTGTCGCTGCTGAATATTTCTCATAACCACATTTCTTTTATTGAGAATGGATTCTTGGCGGCACTTGATAATTTGACAACTTTAGACGTAAGTACCAACCCATTAAGTATTGCCAACTTGACTAAATCGTTGAAGAATAATTCAAGAAAACTTAAGACAATATTCATGGAAGGGATGAAATGGACGAAATTTCCATATGATGTTATGAAAGTTCTAGAAAATACAACCTTAAGCAATGTATCCGTAAATAATAACAGCTTGAAGACTTTCGGAAATGAAATATTTCCTCATATGAGTAATCTTGTTACGCTTCAACTGTCGGCCAACAAAATAAGATATTTCCATGGGAATAAAACATTTCCATATTTGCCAAATCTTACCCACCTTGATCTCTCTGATAATTTCATTAACAACGTTAATTTATCGGGAGCAAACAGCTTGACGTATCTGAGTTTGTCATCCAATGATTTAACAGATCTACCCGTGTGTTGTTCTAATAATAATTCTCTCGTGCCCAAACTTCAGGAATTATTCATGGATAACAATTGCATCAGTGTATTAATGATGGATAACATCAATTGCTTGGATGAACTACATTTGTTAAATGTATCTGCCACCAGAATTCAGAGCATCGAGAGTTATACCTTTGCCAAATTAAAAAGTTTACATACGCTGACCATTGAGCGAACAGAAAGTCTGGACAAACAAAACAGTATAAAAGCATACGCTTTTAGTAATCCTAGTCTACATAGACTTTTTATACGTTATAATCAAATAAACTTTGACCCTTTTGGCGTGAATGTTGCACAGATTTTTGCAAATTGTACCAATTTGACGAATCTTGATCTATCGGGGAACCATCTTGGGCAGTTGACAAAAACAGACTGGTCACATCTTTTGCAAAATGTTCCCAATTTAATTTATCTTGATATAAGTGACGCCGGGGTGATGTATTTACCAAAACCGATTCCCAACGTACTTACAAATCTTCGCACATTCCATTTTAAGAAAAATCAAGCTACGATTATACCGACTAATTATTTCAAAAATTTCCGTCACCTGACTATGCTTCTGTTAAATGACAATAAATTTACAACAATAACAAGCGAAATGCTTCCAGATGACTTTCTTAGTCATTTACTCTTTCTTGATTTGGCCTTTAATCCGTTTGAATGCAACTGTGATCTTCTCTGGTTCCTAACTCTTGCAAGAAGACTTTCTAGGAATGACACTAAAACTACCCTACTCGGTTATCCGAAATATTATGAATGTACTGGGGGAAAGACAAAATTGAAGGATGTGACCATAACAAAACGCGGCTGTTTGTTTCATCATCAGACCAATACGATTATTGAATGTACGTGCGCTGCGGTTATAATCATTCTTATGTCCATATCGTTTGTGTATCGGTACCGATGGCACTTTCGGTATTTCAAATACATTCTTAACTTGCATAGAAGGAAGGGTGTCACCAGCAGCAACGAGGCATTTACAAGTGATATGTACGTCAGCTGTTCACGCTCCGACTTGAAAATAGTGTGGGACAGAATTTTGGGCAAGCTTGAACAGGAAAGATTAAACATATTTGTTCGCCATATACACATCCCCCTCGGGACGCCTGAGCTTTCGGGGATTCTAAAGGCGATGGATGAAAGCAAACTGATAATGTTGTGCATCTCGGATACATTTGCTCAAGATCATCTGTGCGAATTTGAAACGGCTATGGCAATAAATAGGAGCCTTACTGTAGGCACATGGACATTAATCGTTATAGTTTTAGAAGAACTGTCAAGTGAAAATGTTACTAAGACAATCCATAGATTAATTCAGAATGACGATAACTATATCTTGTGGGATAAGACTGAGGAGACAAATAACTCGTATAATTGGACAAGACTGCTGAGGCAAATTCATGGATCAGATAATGTTAATCAAAGTCCGCTAAGTTAAGATGCAGTTGCACGCATTATTTTCATATAAAGTGAATTCGGGAGTCGAGTATTAATAATCTCAATTCGTAGACATGGGATGGAGTATGGATCAACCCAGGATGGCTAAGGTGATTTCTAGAGTTGGATAATATTAATCAAAGTCCGTAGTGATGATATATCTCTGTGGTTACATACAATAATTTGATGAATATAATTCTGTGTGTACCATATTCCCCATTCTTTCCTTCATATCAATTAGCCTAGCTTATGTGTTGGACCTATTACAACTTTTTGTGTCGTTTCTCAAGAATTAGAAAAGTCACTTTTTGATTGTATGCTCTTTTTTCTTATTTTTGTTCAAATATGAAATTAGTAAAACAATGCAGCTCTATTTGTTTCGAAATGAGTTTTGGGCAGCTGGTAGACTACGTAGTGAATGCAACAACACAAAACGTGTTGTGCTCGTTGGGCAGCCGTAGGCTACATGTTGTTTGCAATTAGACAAAACCGTGGTGAACTCGTTGGACAACGGGTATGTTATTACACAAACACGTGTAATTGTGTTGTGCTTGCCGAGAAAGTTCCTCGGGATTTTTCAGCGTGGATTCCCCTATGGGTGGTGCAAGTAACAGTGTCCAGTTGTTCGGATGAGATAAAAATATGAGACTTTATATTTTAATCCTTCCTCTGGAATTGTTATTAGTAACCTTGGTGTATATTGTTAGTTCCCAGGATACCATTTTATTAAATACCGATTTGTACATTGACAAAGTATTCTATGTCTCCCCGTTTCCAGGACAGTTACCCCCCTTGTCGGACGTGCTGTTCTCCGTGTATGATGTTTAATGTTTTCTGGTAATAAATAGTCTCAAGGATAATTTCAGACTTTAGTTATTATCGAAGATTTACACTGTTACGGTAGCTTTAAGTCAAAATGGCCGCAGATTGATCATGCATTTTTTGTCGCATTTTGCACTATTTTGCGCGCTGTATCATAAGGTCTGTCATTGAGTCAACTGGCGGTGTTTCGGTTCCCCGGTTGTACGTGACAAGGAATAGGGTCGCCTATCCAACCACGTGGGTTTTCTCCAGGTCCTCCAGTTTCCTCCCAAGCGAATTACTGAAATAAAATTGAACCATGTGTTAGTCCCGAAATAACCTAGTTGGTGCCGAGTGGACGTTAAATCCTCCCATCTCTCTCTCTCTCTCTCTCTCTCTCTCTCTCTCTACAACAGGTTATAATTTATCAATGAAATACTAAAAATATAATATTGATGAATGCGTATTATAGTCACCATTTACTGCTATCACCCTCCATAAAGGATCATTTGAACTTTAACGTATTTTCAACACGGCAACAAAGGATGCATTTCCGTGAGTCAACTTTTGATATCTGTTTCTGTCGATAGATCTATATAATTAACACTACATGCCCATTGTTTTCATATGTATTAACTAAATATTAAAGCTCCGTTTATTTCATATTGCGTAGGAAAAAACGAGGCGGTGAAAATGTTAAAATGTTTTTGAACCTTTTGCTATTTGCATGATGTACAACCTGATATATTATTGTAAATCAGTAGTTTTATAAATGGAGGCTATTTTGTCACTCTAAAAGCACCAGAAATGAAAAGAGACGTGACGAATGATAGGTTAATGTAACGGTATGTAAACAAACACTCTTTGATAAATTTTCCTGAAATATATTTTCATTCAACTTTAAAGCTCTGTGCGTCATTTGCAATTTACGGACTTTTGCCACGGATTATTCAGATGTAATCAGATTTATTTTTTAACATTTAGTTAAGAGCACGAAATCAAAATGTCAACTTATATAATCTGTCGGGGAGGGGGAGACAGGTTGCTCTGGCTTTTGACTATATATAGGCGGGTTGGGTGACCGAATGGTTAACGCGTGGGCGTTGCATCATAAGGTCTGTCATTGAGTCCGTGGTTTCGATTTCCCACTTGTACGTGACAAGGAGTAGGGTCGCCTGTCCAACCTCGTGGATTTTCTTTGGTTTCCTCCCACTGCTAAAGCACCCTACGCGCAAGCGAATTAATGAAATATTTGACTTGAAATGTTTATTTGGACTAGACTCAGACTCGGCAGCCGTAACGAGTCGCGACTTGAAAAAGCTTAGAGCTCGAGTTGCGGCGAGGGTGCATAACTCTAACTTACCTTATTGGTGTTGCTGACCCATTTCATGAACTGCCGACTCTAATGGGAATCGAGCCTTGTGAAGCCTTGGGGCTCGACTAGACTCGGTACTAAAGTGAGCGACTAGGGGCTCGACTCATGCGAGGTCCCAGCTCTGCCAATGTAAAGATACAACAGACCAATCCGTTGACCTTGTACCAATTCAATATAATGCTTCCATATTAAATGGTTATGCCGTAGGCCTATGTTTAAATCAAATGTATAATGGATATTATATAGTTTCAATCTTTCCATAATTTAATTTTGGAATTAAACGTTAATTAAACGTTTGTCTTCGTTAGCCCAGTCGGGGCCATCTTTAATAGAAGGCTTAATCTCGCTTTAACTCCGTATATCTTACGTAATACTCTACATCTAGATGTTGTAAAACTCGTGGTCGTTGCTTTAGTAACATGGGTCGGGACAGAACCAATCTGATTAAAACACAGATCATATTTCGTTTCGTTTTTTATAGTTTAAAATTTCGTTTTACTTGTCTTTACTACACTAGGATCTGGAAGAGTTGTTATATTACCGACGTTCTGGTTGAAGTGAGGGATTGGAAAATGAAACTGATTGATTAATCAATGTATGACGTCATAGGGTCAAAAGCCGATCGTATGACCCCTGACACGACCTTCCAGTAAAACTAGCCAGATCTCCATGTAGGGTACGCCATCGAAAGTATATAAAAAAAACGAAACGAAATATAGATCTGGGCCCTGTTTCTCGAAATCTTAACTAAAGATAAAATCCAATTTTAGTAGATACTTCAATTTTGATTGGCTAAGCCCTAAAATCAATCTAATATTATCCAATCAAATTTGGATTTTATCTAAGTTTAAATTTCGTGAAACTATCCCCTGTATTTTAATCAGATTGGGACAGAACACTAGGAACTTAAAGCGATAATTTCATATTTTTAAATTATATTTTTAAAATGTATTAAAATAAAGCGTTAAAATCGATGGTATCTATAAACGGTCCTACCTTTTTAATGAATAATCCTATTAATCCTATAATGCACTATTGCCTTTTGAGAAATTGGCAAAAATATCATTTTCAACTTCAAATTCAAACGTTTGAAGATAGCTACACCATTGGGGGGGGGGGGTAGAAAGGAGGTAATTGTGTTATTATTTCCGGGCTCAATGATTTTTTATTTATGTGTGAGAATGATACCTATGATCGTATAATAGTGAGTTGACAACCTATTGAGCAAGAGACATAGAAATAATTATGTTTTGACTTTCTTAGAAAATATTAAATTCTCGCTTTAAACACCCTTTCATATCATTTAGTATAGGAGGTATAAAAACAAGTTTGACGCAGTCTTTAGCTTCGTCAAGTTGTGTTTATGAACGGATTAGTCCATGGATTAAACCCACAAGGTACAACAGCGCCATAAAGGGAAATACTGCGTTAAAGTAGGCAAGTTACTAACTCAATATCACCCACAGACTTCGGCATTGCAAAAACGAATTGTTTGTCCATTTAAATCAATACTGATGTTGTGATCTTAACGTGAAGAAATGGGATTCTGATAACCAAAATATTTATGAAAACTGTAAAATTGGCCCACGCGATTCGATAAACGATACTAAACATATAGGATACTAAACATATCCCACAGGAGAATACTACCAGTGTAGACTGGGATAACCAGACGCCAAAGACTGCCTTTCAATTTGCACTCTTCGTGTATATCGCTGAACATAAATGATTAGAAATTACAGTAAAACGGAAACGATTGAATGTAAATCAGTTTATATATATATTCATAATACTTTATTATATGAGCTGTGATCCATTTGTGTCAATTGTCAATTTCTAGATGCCGAAGAATAGTGATTTAGCTCCTTTAAATGAAATGAAATGGGGTTTACATCCCACTGTTCTGCTCCGACTGGGCTAATGAAGACGGGCGAACACCATACAGTGTGCTATGCGGGCAGTGTGCCGCTGCCCAGGCAAAATTTCCCGCATAGCACACTGTATGGCGTATGCCCGTCTTCATTAGCCCAGTCGGAGCAGAACAGTAGGACGTTAAACCTCATTTCATTTAATTTCATTTGCCTACTTATTCCATTCTACACGTTTTTTAATTACTATTTTGTCGTTTGTGACTCAGCCATTACTAATCACTTCCGTATTTTTTTCTTTCTTAATTACAAATGGCAAATAAAACCATTTATTTTAGATCAGTAGTGGAATACCGCGTTTTATCAGTGAAATAAAAGTGTTATTCCACTGGCTAGCAGTGAAATAGTTGTTTTTACCTAAAATGATTGTAAAATCATAAAATAAATAGAACATTTGTCGTTTTGTCGTGAATAACACATTTTATTTCATCTCTAAGCAAGAAAACGTTTATATTTTCACTCATGGTATACGCATTCGTGAAAATATAGGTTTTCTTGCTTCTCGATGAAATAAAATATGTTATTCACTCTAAAACGACAAATATCCTCTATAGAATACATGACTCGTGTACTGATTATAAAATGTTAATTGTGTCTAAAATATTTGATATATTAGGATCCTATATTTCCACAGCAAGATAACAGTATCAATATTGATTGAAATGGACAAATATTGAATTCTAATTCGTGTTGTTAATTTCGAATATTATAGAAAATATTGAGTTAGAGGATTGACTCCTTTAACCATTGTATTGCCGAATGGTTAGCATGTGCGTGCTGTATCATAAGGTCTGTCATTGAGTCAACTGGCGTGGTTTCAATTTCCCGGTTGTACGTGACAAGGAGTAGGGTCGCCTGTCCAACCTCTCCGGTTTTCTCCCACAGCTTAAGACCTTTACGCGCAAGCGAATTATTGAAATAAAATTGAACCATGTGTTAGTCCCGAAATAACCTAGTTTGCACCGAGTGGACGTTAAATTCTCTCCCTCTCTCTCTCTCTCTCCCTCTCTCCCTCCCCCCCCCCCCCCATTTAACCATTGAGCAATAAGAACAATATAAATTCATCTATAAATAATTTGACATGTTCATTCACAATCAGAAAAAAATAGTTTAAATTAAACAGAAAATCAATGAGCGTGTAGGATAAAATAAACCTGTTGATATACAGTTATTTTTGAATGCTTCTCTGGGGATAAAAAAAAGTCGGTAACTTAATGTAAAGTACTTCAAGGAAAACGGGGATTTTTGTATAAATTTGTTTGTCATCAATTACGTTAATGTCTAATGTAACCTTCTATTTACACATTTGTACTGTGTATATGTATACTTATTTCAAAAATACAACAGTGGGCGTCTGTATGTATGTATAGCAATATGGATTACTAACAGAGTGAGGGGGTGGTAAGAGAAATGGAATAAGTGATATGGGGTTTAACGTCCTACTGTTCTGCTCCGACTGGGCTAATGAAGACTGGCATATGCCATACAGTGTGCTATTTTGGGAATTTTTGCCCGAGCAGCGGCACTATGGCCTACTCTTTTATCGAATTCTAGCTGGCGCGGGATCTTTAACGTACATGCCAATGTATACACGGGACCTCGGTTTTCCGTCCCATCCGCATGACTAGACAACTGTCCATGTCTGGCCCTCCGTGTGAGAGAGAGAGAGAGGGGGGGGGCTCGTTAAGATTTTTGAAATATGAAATTATCAATGATCATTTTGCTGTGCATGCTGCCTAGATAAGAAACCTCATCCCTCAACCCTCCGTGTTCCGAGATAAGATATGGTACTATTTAATTTTACCTTGCAAAAACCGATGTGAGTCAGATCGGGATTCAAAAAGCAAAACTATCAATTTCTTTTCAAAATATCACCTGATTACTGATTCGGAGAGAATGCTGCATTTTAGTCATTTTAATACCCATTTACACTAAATAGGAAATAATTTTTACCTACAAATACGTCAAACGCCTTTATTTATTTTTCCAACACATAAAAAAATGTTTTAGAATTTAATTTGTCGCAGGAAAAAAGTTAATATTTCTGGCTCATTAAGCCGCATCGATGTCATCCTTATCAGTGATTGTAGCGGCCTAGCAAATATTCACTGCGGATCAGTGTGTATAATACCATGACTCCAGATATATTTTTTAAATTAGGCTAGTAGGTCACATCAAATCAAATATGTCACTTGACACTAATTATAGTTTGATTTAGTGTGGCAGCTTTGACTTCAATTTGAGAAGTCATAGGATATGTTTTGCCAGAAACGTTCATAAGTCTTAAGGCCATAGAAATTCAAGATTTATATCAAATGTTTTTAGATGGCAATAGTGAGTAGCTAATATTGTTTTTTTATTAACACGTTTAAATTTAAATGACAAGTACGCCGTTGTCTTGATGAAATGGGTAAGTGGACAGCTTCCGTTTTCTCCAATTAAAATTATAACTAAATAATTATCACAAGAGCTAAAGGGAGCAGTGCCGTTGTTTAGAAAGAGTAATCTCCCTTTAGTCTTTGTTTTTTGTTTCTTCTTCACTAGAAATAAAATGAAATAAATTTAATATCCGACTGGGCTAGCAGTGCTACAGCCTAATGTTATATCGAATTCAACTGCCAAGGGTTCTCCTTGCTGGATCAATCATCATTTAACTATAAATGGGTTACACGTCAATTTTTAGACCAAGATATGGTATTTTGTTTTAGTGATTATGTATGCTATGTTTGCTAAAACATTTAGAGGACATCTGGTTTAAAAATAATGTTTTTCAAATCCTGCAATATTTCTATCACATCCAATGACAAAACTAGGCCATTTCGGGACTAACACATGGTTCAATTTTTAATTTCAAACATTCGCTAGCGCATGGGTTTTTTTAGCAGTGGGGGGAAACCAGAAGACCCGGAGAAAACCCACGAGGCAACCCTACTCCTAGTCACCTACATGTGGGGAATCAAAACCAGGTCACTGGACTCAATTACACAGTAATCCACTAGATCCCCCCACCCCCATTGTCGTCGGGGGGGGGGGGGGACACAAGTAAAAATAATACGAATAAAATTTTGAGATCATTTTTTATTATTAAATTCTGCAAATCAATCATTTAATATTTATACATTTTTTATGAAATTTTCTTATCAAGTTAAATTCACGAACAAGAATTAAAAAAGACTTATATCCACATCATTTGGTCCTCTTTCAAATAATTTTTCACAGTTTTAAAACTTTGTGTAAATAAATTCATAAATTACAAATGAAAACACGTAAAACTTCAGATTTGAGTTTCTATGATCAAGATGTGACTAGGTTTTCAATAATTCTTGGAATAATATAACATGAATATCACATATATCATACATTAATCAGGACCAGTTTGACGTTGTTGCAGGCCCCTGGGTAAAGCCGAGCACTGGGCCCCTACCTACATAACCAACCTCACACGAATACAAATATAGGCTAAATGGTGGATAAAATTAAACATATATTTATTGTATTGGTACTTCCAATAAAATCAATGTTTAAATAGTAAATCACAACATAGGCTACGTAGATAAGCATGAGGCTCCTATGTTCGTGGGCCTTCAAGGCAACTGCCCAGTGTGCCCATCCGTTAAGACGACTCATATCAATGATTGGTCCTAAATTAACATGTAGATCTTAATGCCAAAAAAAGTACAATAAACAGTATTTTATGATTACCGTTACATGTATATAGAACATCTGAAGTAACATCAATGCATGTTCATTACATACAGTAACTGTTTCCTTAGCAGTTCAGTACAGTAACTGTTTCCTTAGCTGTTGAGTACACACGGTTACTGTTTTTTTAGCTGTTCAGTACAAAAAATACTGTTTTCTTAGCTGTTCAGTACTTAAAGTAGTGTTTTCTTAGCTGTTCAGTACTTAAAGTAGTGTTTTCTTAGCTGTTCAGTACTTAAAGTACTGGTTTCTTAGCAGTTTAGTACATACAAATTCTGGGGTTTTTTAGCTTTTCAGTATACACAATTACTGTAATGTCACTGTTCAGTATATAAAATTATTGTTTTCTTAGTTGTTCAGTACAAAAAATTACTATTTCCTTAGCTGTTCATTACATAGAGTTACTGTTTGCTTAACTGTTCAGTACATACAGTTAATGTTTGCTTAGATGTTCATTACATACAGTTACTGATTTCTAACAAAAAAAGGGACAAATAATGCACAAACATATTGCAATTTCTACTTCTAGCATATATATATACAGATACATATAGTTACAATATATTTACATTTTATATAAACAGTGAATTATATACATACCATTCAATAATAGCAATATTATTTACATATATCTATTACCGTACCAACGCAATCCCTCATAAGCAAGCCTGTTAATTAGGCACTTGTCACAGATAATGTCCGGCACAGATTCATGCTTTGTCAGGCACTAAACCTCTGGTGTCTGTCATTTTGTCCGGCACTGATTTGTCTTTTTTAATGATATTATTAATACATGTCCGGTACTAAGTTGACAATGTCAGGTACTATTTCATTAGTGCCTGACATTTTGGCAGGTACATCAACAACCGTTATTTCCAGGCCTGCTCATAAGTCAAATTGGTTTTCAATGCTAGTCAAATTGTTTTTTCAATGCTAGTCAATTGTTGTGTTTGAATACTTGTCAAAGTGCTTTTCAATGCTAGTCATTTATTTATTTTAACGGTTTGTTAACAAGTACAATAAGTAAACAAGCTCACCTGTACCAGAATAACAAGGTATCAGCAGCCTTTACTATTAGTACTCTATTATTATCAAATACTTAAACTATCTTCTTTAAATGGCATTTAGTAATTGGAATGTACATGTAATCAAATAACACACCATGTATTGATAACAATTACTATGGTTTGTTGCACTGTTATGTTTCAACAAGATTGTTATTTGGCTTAAACTATAATTGGCTTTGAAAGGCCTAACAAATTAGGAGGTCAATGGTAATTTGAAAGTGTTTCATACAATTACCTCTACATGTACAGACAATTACATGTACATACAAATACATGTACAGACAACTACATGTACAGACAATTACATGTACAGACAGACTTAATGAAGATTATACCAAGCCATCATTTATTATGAAATTAATTTCTTTATCATAAATCATCTACCACCTTATTGCAATATTTCAAAAAGCTAAAATCAATAGCTAGCAATCAAAATAAAATAGACACATGCACTATCATACCAATAACAGATACAAATCAAGCAATTAATGTCCCAAATTTTATTCATCATATTTTCTGATCAATAAAATTTTTATTGGGTCAAACAAAGGAATCAAAACCACGCCAGTTGACTCAATGACAGACCTTATGATACAGCGCGCACGTGCTAACCATTCGGCCATCCAACCCCCCCATTAATAACACAATGATTCACTAAAAGCCAAATAAGTTAAATAAAAATGATGTTACACGTTATTATCTCCCTTTTTATCTCCACAACAAATCAATTATTTCATTTTTCTATAAATGACCTTTTAAACTCGCTATTTCGGACAATTTCACAGTTTAGTCAACACCAAAATGTACTTAAATTGATTAATTAACATTTCATAGAGAAAACAAAACCACAATATTAACGGAAGATAATCTTCCGGCATGTATTCAATCAGAAAAAACATCAACAGTTGATAATCTTCCGACATGGATTCAATCGGAATAAACATCCACCGCAGATAATCTTCCGACATGGATTCAATCGGAATAAACATCAACGGTAGAGGCCCATGAAAATATTTTATCCAACATTTATAGGTGGCACTGGCTTGTTGATATCTTCTGTAGAGGATGTTGTGAAACTTTCTATTTATCATATCTTTGTAAATATTGAACCATTGATATTCTTTTTATGCTAGATTCCCACTATTACGATTCGTGCTACGATTGAAATCGTGGTTGTAATCGTGGTGATCCTATCAATTCTTATTTTGTGGTCAGTCGCAGCAATCGTATTGACCGCATCGAAACGTATCCAAACGCTTTTGCACATGGCAGATCAAGGACTCAATAGGGACAATCCTACCGTAACGCATCACACGGCAGTGGGAACCTAGCATTATAAACCCAACTCTCACAATATTGTGGTTAGCAGGCGAATCAAAGTCCCTCAAATAACAACCAGTGACTTCAATAATCATAATATTTTCCTGAATACAAAAAGAGATTCAAGAAAACTTCCTTCTACGACCTGATCATCTTCTGTTGATTAGTATTGGCTCCGTTTTCTTTTGAAGTTTCTGACTTCTCAAGGAAGAATTCATCACAGGTTCTTCTGGAAATGATGTTGATAGTCTAGGTAGGCTATCATCCACAATTATTTAGCCTCACCACTCAGCCCCGCACCGCTCAATTAATCATTTCAATTATTTATATTATGTGTACACTTACACAGTAAGCGTAACATTATGAGGAAATCCTACTAGCATCCTTATACAGACATAGTAACACACAGTCTGCTATATTTGGGAATGTCGATCACCAAGCGAATCAAGTCAAATAAGTTCTGAATTCTCGTATCCATCCTATTATCGCATTTATGTAGGCATCCTGGGATTTTACAATATTAAAGCAAAACTCTTCATCATCGTGCAGAATCAAAATTTTGCATGCCCAAGTCTAAGATACGTAACTGCATAATGCTGTCTCCATACTCTGAAAACTTCTTCTCTCCGAGAACTGCAAGAAGATTTTTCTGAAATAAAAAGCACAGAGAATTAACATATCATCAAAACAATCTTTGACATTTTGAAGAATTAGAAATCCCCAAACAGAGAGAGAGAGAGAGATGTGGTTTAAGTTCACTTGACACAAACTAGGTCATTTTGGGACTAACATATGGTTCAATTGTGTTTCAGTAATTCGCTTGGTCGTAAGGGTCTTTAGTAGTGGGAGGAAACTGGATGTCCTGGAGAAACCCACAAGGTTGGGCAGGCGACACTACTTCTTGTCACATACAACGGGAGAATCGAAACCACGTTAGTTGACTCAATGACAGACCTTATGATACAAGCGTGCATGTGCTAACCATTCGGTCATCCAATCCCTCAATAACACTAAGATACTGGTCAATAATACAACAGTTATAGTATACAGTCAATCAATAACCGATCTATATCATACTGTATACCATAACTGTAGGGAAGTTTCTATATTTCTAATATCTGTCAACCAATAATTATAAGATCGCCAGGGAGTTGAAAGATTTAGATTCAGATGAAAATATAACTTTTCTGATTATTCTTTATAACACACACAGTTCTATGGATAATTATCATTATATTATGTACACATGACGTTTCGACAAGATTTCACTGGTCGTTATCAAGCATACAAATTGTGTATATAATATAGTGATTGTTATCCATAGAACTGTGTTATATTATGTTCAATCACTAAATGCCATTCAAAGACTGATTATTCTTCTATCTGGCTTAAATCTTAATAATGGTAGCTCTGTAGAACAATATATATTAAAGATACATTATGTAAGATTTAAATAAAGAAACGGTTGTTCTTGCTATAATGGTTCGAAATAATGAAAATTGAATATAGGGCCTATTAAAACTTTATTCCGAGTGAAGTTGGGTGTTGTAAGATGTAGCGTAGTTCGTTTATTATCGTAGCAATGGTACTTGACAATCAAGTCTCAATTATCCATTTTATCATTAAATTTTTAAATCTCGCAAGTGTTTCAATCTATTTAAATCTCTGCCACCCAATGGTTTAGAGAGTTGATTATGGTCTTATCATGTAAATATATGTGTAATTAATAATTTATACATTTGAAGCCAAAAGAAAGACCTGCAATAGGCAGATTTAGCTCTTGCATAATGTATGTTTAAATAAACTATCGAAAGGAGAAAGTGAGAACAAATTTCGATATTGAAACAGAACTCTGTAAATTTAATACGTACAACGATACGGCACACATAAGTAGAAGTAGAACCATAGTAATTGACAATCATTGCAGTTGTTGTTTGTCTATCTATGAATGAATAAAAAAATTGCCCGTTCCGAGATGAACAATTTATGACCTGTAGTAGGCCGATTTAGTTCTTACATAACGCATCTTTACTGGTCGGTCTATTGCAGTATACATATTGATATTAATTGTTGATTACCTTTAATTCAACAGGATTGTGGGTATGTTCCATGGTTTCAAACGTCTTTATTAAAGTAGCCTCTCCTATACCAACAGCACATTTTCTATAATAGAGAGAGAAATGGGATTTAACATCCACTCAATTCAAACTAGGTCATTTTGGGACTGACATATGATTCAATTTTATTTCAATAATTCGCTTGCTCGTAGGGGTCTTTAGCAGTGGGAGGAAACCGAAGGACCCAGAGAAAACCTGCAAGGTTCGACATGCGATCCTACTCCTTGTCACAAACAACCGGAGAATCGAAACACCGCCACTTGACCCAATGACAGACTTTATGATACAGCGCGCACGTGCTAACCATTTGGCCATCCAAACTCCCGAATAGCATATATAAGTATAGCTACATCTATATCAATGGTATAAATCAAGGAGCCTTTTCTTACCTTTGTAAATCTTGCATCTGTTTTAATAATACAGTTTTATCTTTCACAGCATCTATAAAATACAGATTAATTTATAGAAATCTGAATAAAATACCAAAGTACAGGTACATATGTTAAAGGGACAATAACACTCTTGCTGGCTTGAAAGCTCCAGAAAATAAATAATATCTCTATCTAAATACTAGATGTTTAAGTGTCCTACCTGTTGTGTAAATTATCCATTACATCCTATTTTACTTGTCCAGAGGGTTCGAAAATATTTTTAAATCGAAGTTTCATTTGAAAAGGTTTACGTTAGACGTTTCAAACCATTATGATGACTTTTTCAAAATGTTTAAATAAGGTGTGTTAAGATGAAATTTGTATCATCAATTAATTGAAATATTCTAAAATAGTACAATTTGTTGACCAGAATAAAGATTGGGACATATTATTCAGTTACAACAAGAGTGGTATTGAGCCTTTAAACAAATCTTGTAGGTAGTTAAAAACTATGCTGAAAATTTCAGTCAAACTGTTCCACTCTGAACCAAGATATTAACGATTGATTTTTTGGACTAGGCTCGGTCATCATTACGATACGATAAAAAACATAGTCTCGATTATTCATTTTTGATTTAATCATCAATGAGCATTGAGCAGCAGATGGGATTCAAATCCAGTGAAAATCCGAGACATAAGATGGCATCGAGAGTTGATTATGGTCTTTTCATGTTAATAATTTATATAACCTCCAGACCTAAAGAAAGACCTGCAATAGGCAGATTTAGCTCTTGCATAATGTATGTTTAAGTATTAACTTGGTTGTAAGAGATAAGACATCAATGCTCTATATAGATGAATTTATGTAATCTTCAGATTATTTCCAAATCCATTATATCAGTATATTGTATATACTCATGTCATATTTGAAATAAAATATTGTTTACCCCCCCTCCCCAAAAAAAATCAAAATCAACAAAGAGCTTTAACAATAACTAGAAAATATTGAAGCCTGCACAAAGATTTCCTGATAATATAAAAGTAATTGAAGTCCAATATACAACAATACATAACTCAAATATTGGTTAATACGATGCATTCTCATAATCCCAGCATTCAATACCTTCACAATGTTAAACTATAATGATACAGACTTAAAGTCTCGACAAGGTGAACATTAGCATTGGTGTTCGGTGAACTGACACATACATGTACTACATCACGAAAGAAAAATATGTAACCCAGGCCAAATGCAATTAAGTGTGCAAATAAAGTCTAAACTTGGTGGGAAAGGTCTTTACATGGTACAACCTATTTTACATGCTATTTAAGGCCATACCCAAAAAAATATTCTGTTTCAAGTTTACTTGGTGGGAAAGGACTTTACATTGATACAACCTATTTTACATGCTATTTAAGGCCATACCAAAAAAAATATTCTGTTTCAAGTTTACTTGGTGGGAAAGGACTTTACATGGTACAACCTATTTTACATGCTATTTAAGGCCATACCAAAAAAATATTCTGTTTCAAGTTTACTTGGTGGGAAAGGACTTTACATTGATACAACCTATTTTACATGCTATGTAAGGCCATACCAAAAAAATATTCTGTTTCAAGTTTACTTGGTGGGAAAGGACTTTACATCGGTGCAACCTATTTTACATGCTATTTAAGGCCATACCAAAAAAATATTCTGTTTCAAATTTACTTGGTGGGAAAGGACTTTACATCGGTACAACCTATTTTACATGCTATGTAAGGCCATACCAAAAACAATATTATGGTACTCTGACACTCTTTTTCAAAAATCTGTAGTGGGGAGGTTTTTATTTTTGCTTTGTCAAAGGATCACTACTGGGCTATATAGGAATGTACGATTATCCAGTATTATTTTTGATTGTCAATAACATTTATCAGGGTTGCATACTTGATAATTGAGTCTGCAATGCATTTCTAGATTCATTTGAAATTTTTCATACAGTTACTTTCAGGAAAAGATTTACATGCAGTAAAGTGGTTGTAGCTGAGCAACGTAATATATTTTTAATATGGCCTAATATACACAATATGGCGTAATATACACATTATGGCTTAATATACAAAATCACCATTCACATACACACAAGATGAGAAAACGTACAATTTTTCTGTATCATACAAAACATATCATAGCTAGAATTAGCAAAAGTACATTTACTACTTAATATCGCCCAAATAACAAACACAGGTTGTCATGCAATGAAATAATGTTCACCAGCATCTAAGTGGTTCAAGCAGTTACGAACGGCACAAATCAAAAATATGTTTAAAAAGATCAGATCTTAATTAAAGCCTCTAAGGTGTTAACACAATTTTGTAACAAAGGGGAATAACTCTGGAAAATTGACAGGCTTTTCCTTTCAATAGGATAGGATAAATTTCAGAAAGATAGGTTAACAATTGCAGTCCATAAAGTTCAAACAAGATTTTGAAAGAAAGGGACATAACTCTAGGTGTGTGTGTAATCGGAGAATCTTTATCCATTTCACAAAGCTATATGAATTATTGTAGTCTCTATTGTGTTAATGGTGAATGGACCGAAGTGACAGCAACATGCAACCACATTAAAATGTGAGCGTTTAAATATTTACGATTGTCTTAATGAATTTAGCATTTCATTATGGAAACACTGTGTACTATTTGCTTATTTTTAGCATACGATATCAATAAAATTTAACAAACAAATTAAAGCATGTAACATCCACAATATAAACCAAACAAAGACTTTATCATAATGTTGTCTACGATATCACCCTCGTGACTGTGGACATAAAACCCCAGGAACAAACCATTTATCATAATGCATGTACTAGAGTTTATTTTCGTTATATAAATTATAATACCAATTATACCAATTATATTTTCAAGAGAACCCTGTTTTTTTTTTCTAACCGTCGATAGGACAAGACGATTTTTCTTTGCCAGGCTCTCCGTACCATACCTCGGTTAAGAGGAAATCAGGCTTAAGCCTCAGACAGACAAGCACATTTTTTTGCTCCCATTCTGGACAATTCTTAAAATCGCTAAAAAAAATCGCTTGTGTTCCCGTTCACATGGCTTCCACATGAGTCACATGATCGACGTAATTTACTCACAGAGTGGCATACGCCCTCGAGACAATCGCTAAATGCGCTTCTTCGTGATCAGCTGTAAAAAATCGCTGGTGAATTTCAATCGGCGCGATCAGGTGAAAAAATACGCTCATCTGTCCTAGGCTTTAGAAATCCGAAGAATTTTGTTGGCGAAAAACGTTATAGAACCGGAGATCTCATTGTTAGTGAGCAAACAGAGCTCCAGAGATTAATAAATGTTAACGAAATGAAATGGGGTTTAACGTCCTACAGTTCTGCTTCGACTGGGCTAATGAAGATGGGCATACGCCACACAGTGTGCTATGAGGGAAATTTGCCCAGATAACAGCTCTATGGCCTACTCTTTATCAAATTCCAACTGCCAAGGGATCTTTTACGTGCACGCCAATGTATACATGGTACCTTGGTTTTTTGTCCCATCCAAACAACTAGACAGCTGTCCTTGTCAGGCCCTCCGTCCTGCATCACTGACAAGGGGAAACTATGTCAGAAAATCCTGACTAACTTTCTCGGCCAATGCAGGGATCGAACACACAACCTCCAGGCTAGCGAACATAAATACTAACATTTTGCGACAATGTCTTGGTTTGGTTATACTTCATGCAATAAATAGTGATATAACATTTACATACGTGCATCAACACCAGTACCTGGATACCACAACGTAGATTCAATATGGCTGCTTTTTCTATTAGGAGCTCTAACTGGGCTAGGTAACTGTTAAACAAATGAATTATTAAACTCAAAAAATTTAAAATGTGTATAAATTTTAAAAAAAATAATAAAATATATGTTAATATATGTTATTGTATAAAGTTTTTAAGAACAGATGCGAAATTTATTAGGTTTTTCTAGCTGTTATATTAAATTCTAAAAGATTTATATACTGGAATTAGCTATATTTTTGTTAATGCATAATTAGTTTCTAAAAGGTTAAACAGTTTAAAGCAGGCTATATATATATATATATTTTGCAGGGGTATACATTCTTCCAAAATGGACCCTTTTTTTTAACTGTAAATAGTTTTTCTTCCTAAGCTCGAATCAAAATAGTACATGTATATATTTTGAGTATTTTCATCCTTTAACTTATTTCTTACGAATAAGATTCATAAAGAAAAAGTACAAAAATTAAATTAGTGCAGGTAGGAAGAAAGAAAAAAAAATTGTCTTATGGGTTACCAGCACAGAAATGGAGCTATCAATTTTAAAGGTGGGTACATTTTCTTCCTAACTGATTTCAGAATTAAGTCATCATGTACCTTTTTTTTCCAGGATAAATTTACGAGCAAAAGAAAGAATATATACCCCTTGAATTTTGTATGCATTTATAAACATACTAGCGAAATATAGATCAGAATATAATTTATTTATTTACAAATCAGTACTTGGTTCCGAAAAAAATAGCAAATTAAAGTTGACTTAAAGATACAATCCCACAAAAGTACTTATCGGGTGATTATTTCCAATAAAAGTATGACAATTTTGGTATATATGGAAAGTAGAGACACCTAATCTTTCTAGAAAAGTACTGGATTCCTTGAAAAACACCCATGGAGTGCGCACAGGACAAAATTAAGAGGGTGTCACTAATTGGCAGTCTGACGATTAAAGGCTGTCTGCTCGAGGGACGTCAATGGTTGCACACGAAGATTGTCTTATCTCTCGGCGTTAGCGAGCGCTTAATGTATATGTTGATAAACTTGATGGTGAGTGAACTACGAAAAAGTGAAGGACTTAAACGTACAACAGTTTCTGGGATGAAAACCGCAGAAAAAGCCATGGGCAGTGGATAATCCGAGAATTTAATTATGCTTCGATATTTATGATTTTTTATAGCTTGGGGTATTTCCTCGCGAATACAATGTTTTGAGATGGAGAGAGAGAAATGGGGTTTAACGTCCACTCGACACAAACTACGTCATTTTGGGACTAACACATGGTTCAATTTTATTTCAATAATTCACATGCTCATAGTGGGAGGAAACCGGAGGACCTGGAGAAAACCCATGAGGTTGGACAGGCGAACCTACTCCTTGTCACATACAACCTAGGAATCGAAACCATGCCAGTTGACTCAATTTTATTTCAATAATTCACCCAGTTTGTATGCGGGAAGGTATCTTTAAGATCAAAATTTACTTACTCTGCTTCCATCATTACTACAATTTGTTACTGATATACATATATATATTATGATCTATATTTCACTCAAAATTGTGTTATTTTTAAATTTCAAGACCCAGAAGGTATTTAGTTGTAATTTATACAGATAATATCTGATGAATAAACGGTAGATATAAAGCGTCATATTCCTTTTAAAGTGGGGGTATGTCAACCTTAAAACTCAACTCAACACCGTAACAAATCAAGATATAAACCTGTTCCCCGTTTTACAAAACATTCTCAGACTTAAGTTAAGAATTTACTCAAAATTGTTTGCCTTATTTCAACTAAAATATATAGCCCTTTATAAAATCTTTGTTGTTTTAATGTATCAAATACATCAATAAGAAACTATGTGCAAAGTTTTGTGTTTCTGGATCAAAGACATATTTCTCGTAAACAGTGATTGAGTAAATTCTTAACTTGAGTGTGAGAATGTATTGTGAACTCGGGGGAGGGGGATGGGGGCGGGACTCACCTTTCCCACATACTTGGCTGATTGGTGCCGAATTTGACTGGGTGAAGATCTTAAACATACATTATGCAAGAGCTAAATCTGCCTATTGCAGGTCTTTCTTTAGGCCTTAAATGTTATCTAAATTATTAATTAGACATTAATTAACTTATCCAGATCATAATCAACTCCCAATGCCATTGCTAGCCTGTGATGTTTACTGGATTTGAATTCATTTTTGGATGGATGATTTAACGATTTTTTATCACACCAACTTTAGTAATGATGATCGAGCAATTTGACTGAAATTTTTAGGATATTTTCTTTATGTCATCTATTTATCTGCCAGCTCTTTATCTCATCTCCCATAATGCCCCTTAAACTGTCCTTCAATTATAAATTACATGCCATAAAGTTAGAATGGGATCTTGTAAGAGAGTTTATAGCAGAGCCCTCACTTCAATTTTTGTTATATTTTGTTTAACCTCAAATTACTAAGATATATTTTCCATAAATTTTACCAATAAAAACTATAAATTTATTTGTACTTATTGTGTTTTTTTAGTTAAATTCTTTGAAATTCTAATTTTATGGCATTGCTTAGAAATTTGTCCATTTCTCAATGAATAAACTATATCTCAATTGTGTATTTTATGGTTAAATTCTTAAATGGACGCAGTGTTCTAATCTACTTAAAATCAAAGCCATCCGATGCTCTAGAGAGATAATTATGGGCTTGTCATGTTAAACATACATTATGCAAGAGTTAACTCTGCAGTTCTTCCTTTAGGCCCGAAATGTTATCAAAATTAATTAACTTATCCAGACCATAATGAAATCTTGATGCCTGCAATGTTTACTGGATTTGAATACATTTTGTGATGGATGATTTAACATCAAAATGGATAATCAAGACTTTGTTTTTCATTGTACCTACTTAAGTAATGATGACCGAGACTAGGCCTAAAATTCAATCGCTAATATCTCAGTTCAGAGTGGAGCAATTTGACTGAAATTTTCAGCATATTCACTTTACATTATCTATTTTTTAACTATTATAGTGTGAACAGTCAACTCTTTATCTAATCTCCCATAATGTATCCTTAATACATGTTTGAATAATAACATTTGAAACCAGAAAAAAAGACCTGCAATAGGCTGATTTAGCTCTTACATAATGAATCTTTAAGAGTCTTAACAAACTGTGTTGAGTTGAATTATATAAGTACATATACCCAGCTGTAAACATGTGCTAGAAGGTGTTATATGCTTACACCAATAAAAAGATAAAAGAAACTATCCATGCATATCCATGCATACTCAACAAATCCAATCCAAATACATTTTGGGCCTTTAAAATTCGAGAATATAAGTTAGAATGATCACCTCACTGATAGGTTTTCCATTGTGACTAACCCAGTGTAAATATGGTAGAACACGGACAGTTTGATACACCACTTCATCGGAGAACCTCTATATTAATAGTAGAAATTAGAAACAGGCTTCTGTATGAATAGCTTCGCTATGAATACAATCTGAATAAAACACAGATCCTATTTCGTTTCGTTTTTTACAGCTCAAAAATTTCGCTTTACTTGTCTTTACTACACTAGGATCTGGAAGAGTTGTTATATCACCCTAGTTTTGGATGATGTGAGGGATTAGCCAATGAAACTGTCTGTTATGGCCAGTTCTTGGCATGTGGTGCACGGAACTGTGGGTATCCTAGTAGAAACATCAATGCTGATTGATTAATCAAATGTCTGTCGTCATAGGGTCAAAAGCCGTTCGTATGACCCCTGAAACAACTCCCACTACTACTGGTCAGATCTTCATGTAGTAGAGGCCATTGAAAGTATAAAACGAAACGGAATAAAGATCTGTATTTTAATCAGACTGGTATGAATAGTATAAATTAGAAATCGGCTTCTATATTGCATAAAATTAGAAATAGGCTTCTATATAATAGAAATAAGCTTCTATATAATAGAAATAGGCTTCTATATAATAGAAATAAGCTTCTATATAATAGAAATAGGCTTCTATATAATAGAAATAAGCTTCTATATAATAGAAATAGGCTTCTATATAATAGAAATAGGCTTCTATATAATAGAAATAAGCTTCTATATAATAGAAATAGGCTTCTATATAATAGAAATAAGCTTCTATATAATAGAAATAGGCTTCTATATAATAGAAATAGGCTTCTATATAATAGAAATAGGCTTCTATATAATAGAAATAGGCTTCTATATAATTTGTTGAGGATTATAGGGCTTTAAGAGAAACAGAGCAAAGAAGGCAGTGCATGGAACTGGATCTAAAATTATGACCTGAAAATCCATTCAGCTTACTGAGGAATTAGTTTTAGATAACTATCAACACTTTGCAAACACATGTTTTGTAGCAATGTGCACGCAAATATAAAGACTAGCGGTTGCCAGGCAAGATACGCCCACATTTTGCAAGAGATCGATAGAGAACAAGCTAAAAAAAAAGCCATTATCCAGGAAGTTATGTTCCGAAATGCGCAAATATCGAAAGGGACTGAGATATTTGGGATATAAAGATATATTTTAATTTTCATCAAAATCGGATAAAAATTGTGATTTCTACCGCTGCCTCACTAAACAAGCGACTGCCATGCAAGAAACGCCCAGGGAGAACAAGGTAAGAAAAAGTGATTTTTGTACTATTAGGGGCCATAATACAGGATGTTACAGTCCGACATGAGTCAATATTGAAAGGAACCACGATTTGTGGGAAATAACCATTTTAAGTCTCATCAAAACATGATTTTTTGTACAATCAGGGGCCATAATTCATGAAGTTATGGTCCGATACACACCAATATCGAAAGAAACTGAAATCTTTTGGATTTTTTAATACAAACCTATATTTCAAGTTTCGGCAAAATCAGATAAAAATTGTGACCTGTATATACAGTGTCCACAAACAAAATGTGAACGGACTCCAGACAAACGAACATACAGGGGCGACGACAATATACATCTACATGAAAATGTGGGCGTATAATAAGGACTGTATGACCCATTTTTATTTGCTAATACAATTTTTTCATACCTGAGAGATACGACGCTGTGTTACAACTATCTTGAAACAATTTCAACTTTACATTTATGCACATAATGTCACAGGAATAAAAAATTTCATGCCAAAAGATTTTCCCAAAAATTGATTGACAAAAATTTCTGCAAGCAATTGTAATTATATTATTAGCTAAAGTATTTATCATTATTACATCGGTTTTGATGTGACTTGGTCAGATTGAGTGGGGTTTTTTATTTCAAATTTCTCTACCATAATGGAATTTACTTTGTTTAAATTATGCTTAAGTTATTTCCCCCCAATGAGTGTTTTTTTTTTTTTTCAAATTTCCCTACCATAATGGAATTTACATTGTTTAAATTATGCTGAAGTTAATTCCCCATGAATTCTAACTGAATTGTTTGTTAAAATCTGTTGAGAAGAATTTGTTTTCAGTGCTTTAATCATATCACCATAAAGATAACAGAGTGGCAAGAGTTTATCAGTTGTAGGTGTTAGAATTCAGTGAAATGTTACAAAAGATTGAGAGCTGGAAGTTGTAGACCAATTTAAATTAGTTAGTATTACCATATCCAAAAAGAATGCATTAATAACAATTATTTCAAAATCAAATCTCATTCATAGAATTTCAATAATCAAATCTTATTCATAGAATTTCAAAACCAAATCTCATTCATAGAATTTCAATAATTTAGTGCAGTTTGTTTTGTTTTTTTTTTAAATTAGCAAACTTTCAAAAACAAATCTCATTTATAGAATTTCAATTCTTTTTTTTTTTTTTTTAAATTAGCCAACATGATGCTCCCGGAGAATTCTAAATCTAATTGAGTCTTCTGTTTCCAGCATGATATAAATTACACATACATTTGCTACACTAAAAATAACAGAAATAAAAGTATTTGTGTACTCCAAGTTTTCTAGAAAACCATACCTCCCTAATTCAAATTAAATTCACCAAAACAATGTTAAAATTTTATCTAGTAAAAAAAAATTTTAAAAACTCCAAAACTTTAGAAATTAGAATTTAAATAATTTAAATTTACGTACAGGTTTCCCATCAGGAACATCCAGTGTTTTAACAGACTCCACGACATCTACTGGAACTTGTATGGTACTAACATCAAACATTGGACTAAATACGACTTGTTCTGCTGTTAATTCTTTTATTATATGTCGTGGTGTTACTTTTAATGTCTCAAGTTTCATATCTTTAATGATCGACATTGGCTGAAAAAAAAATCAAAATTTGATCTCACTGATTTGATCGTAAAATTAGTGCTCACATATATATTTGAATAGTTTTTTCAACTGATAGTTTGGTATTCTTTATTCGAAATGGGGTTTAATGTCATACTTTTCTGCACCGACTGGGTTAATAAAGACAGGGTTGACCATGACCTTTACGGCAAATGGAATGAGATGAAATGGGGTTTAACGTCGTCCTGTTCAGCACAAACTTGGCTAATGCCTTCTACCTATGACTTAAATTGTCCGCTATGTAATTTTAGGGCAGGTATCCGTTTCCTTCAAAGTACCAGCTCTGAGATATAGCTTGTTAACACACAGCCAATCATAACATACACTATAATAAGACAATGTTTAGGAAATACTCTATTTTTCGTGTTTGGATTGTCTCCCTTGTTGTGGGTTTGTTTTCATATTGAGTTAAGCCTGTATCCCTGCAGACCTGGGACTGTACAGCACAGTGAATAATTACGGCCGTTCCCGAAAATACACTTGATTCGATAGTACTTTTATTGTTTATTACTTGCAATGTCGGAGTGTCTTGCATCTTGTTTGTCTTCTCAATTACAGTTTGTTTATGTGTGGTGCAATTCTATAGTTACTATAGTGGCAAGAGAGAGGAATGGGGTTTAACATCCACTTGACACAAACTAGGTCATTTCGTGACTAACATATGGTTCAATTATATTTCAATAATACCCTTGTACGTAGGGGTCATTAGCTGTGGGAGAAAAAAATTGAGGACCCGGAGAAAACCCACAAGGTTGAACAGGCGACCCTACTCATTGCAGGGAATCAAAACCATGCCACTTGACTCAATGACAGACCTTATGATCTAACATGCAGGCGTTGCACACAAACCCTGCACCATAGTCACACGCATATGTGGGCCGACAACATAAACAACTACATGTAAATTGAAAACTAACCCGTTTGTGCCTGTATTGTTTAACGAAATCCTTCTCTAGAAGTTCCTCAGCACTAGGACGTTTATGTTTGTCTTTCTCTAACATGATTCTACCTAACTCACGTAACTCTTCACTATAGTTACCTTGTATTGCTGGAGGCTGAAATTATATATAGACATATTATAGCATTAAAGATAAATTGTGTAAGATTTAGATAAAGGGTTGATCATTCTTGCTATAATAGCTCAAAATTAGATAATGTAAAAGGAAATATTGAAAATTTCATTGAAATTACTTCATTCTGAGCCAAGTTATCACTGTTTGTCATTTTGGCAAGATGTGTGCACTGTGATATACAGGACACTGGTACAGTATATTCGGTACTTAGCCTCTCTTTCCCACTTTTAAATCAAATTTTTAAATGGCAAACCGTTCTAATCTAGTTACAATCTTGAGTATCCTATGCCATCGAGAGTTGATTATGGTCTTGTTTTGTTAATAGATGTCTAATTAATAGTTTATATAACATTTCAGGCCTAAAGAAAGACCTGCAATAGACAGATTTAGCTCTTGCATAATATATGTATAAACAGTGTTTGTTTAAAGTCGTGCATCAACATGGAGGAATCTTAACAACGGCAGCAATGACAATCAAGGCTACACCGTTCTTCTAACGACGATAACTCGGCTCAGCATGACGAAATTTGACTTAAATTTTCAACATATTCCCTTTTCATTATCTATTTTGTAACTATTAGAACTGTCAAATCTTTATCTAATCTTACATAATGCCCCTTTAATGTTAGGATTTCCAATTGTACGGGATATTGATGACTGTGTCGTCTTGTTAGATCTGACTCTACACTTTTCAAATTCTGTTTATTTACATAGAATAAATGCCTTAATCGCTTATTATTTAAAGATACATTATGGGAGATTCGATAACGAGTTGGCAGTTCTCACTATAATAGTTAAAAACTAGATAATGTTAAGGCAATTTGCTGAAAATTTCATTCAAATTGATCCACTATGAACCGAGAACAAAGTGACTGAATTTCCACCTAGCCTTGATCATCATCACTAAAGTCAGTACGATAAACAGCATAGTCTCGATTATCCATTTAACCGTTAAATCGTAAAGGAAAGTTATGCAGTAAATCGGCTCACAATCCACTAAAGATCGCAGGCTGGCGATGCCATCTAGAGTTGATTATGGTGTGGATAGGTTAATTAATGTCTAATTAATAATTTAGATATTACATTTCAGGCCTAAAGAAAGACTGCAACAGACAAATTTAGCTCTTGCATAATGTATGTTTAATTAAAACTGATCTCAATAATTAAACTTACATCATTATTTATGACTTTGAGGAGTAAAAAATTAAGATAAGGTGCATCATATGCTCTTTCTCTGGCCGTCATCTCGTACACAATACAACCTAAACTCCATATATCAGTCTGAAATTAAATAAAACAAATTTAATATCTTGTAAAATGAGAGGGACCACAGCTGTGGGGAAGAACTTGTAATATGACTCACAGGGAGCCACAGTGCTTTGCGGAGAATGGCACTGGCTCCAGTGACTAGAAAGTGCCCAATTCAATCTCGGTAAGGACAGTTCCACAGGATTTACCATCCTGGTTTTCCCTTGTCCAGTGTACCATTGGCAGCACGTCAAAGATCATTTGACAGAAAATGATATAAGAATATGCCATTGTGCACTGCCTGGGCGAAATTCCCCTCATATCGTACTGCATTATGTATGTCTCTATTTCTTAGAGCGCAGTTAACCCAATTTCATTTCCTATGCCTCCTGTGTACCATTGGCAGTCCGTCACAGATTATCTGACAGTTTGAAACCAATATAAGAGTATGCCATATTGCACTTTCTGGGCAAAATTCCCCTCATAGCACACTGCATTATGTAGATATTAGTGCAATTAACCCGATTTCATTTCCTATGACTCATTGCTCTGACAACATATATTATATTATGAAATTGGACAAGTTCGGAATGTAGGCCAGACATCTGTTCACCTTGTTTAATATGACTGAAATGACAAACATTTGACATATGCAACTATCAGTATTTACTAACAGCCATAGAGAGAGAGTCTAGCCAACTGTTCTATCAATTGTGATTGGGTAGCAGAATGTCGAGCAGCCGCATAGTGAAAGGGACGCAATGACAAGCATTGCATCATGTTTTGAGTTTTTGCGCCCTCTCGTGAATAGCAAAAAAACATGCGGTTTTCAACATTATAATGCAAACAGTGTCAAATATGCACCAGGGTCAGATATGCTACAAACTGACTCTAGCATGTTCCACACAGTCCAACATTATTTAGTGGCGCTGGGAGGGACTGCCACCTCACCCCCTCACCCCGCACACAGAAATAAATATGGTTCCTCCTTGTCAGTGGTGCAGGATAAAGGTCCTGGCAATGGACAACACACACGTATAGTTATTCGGATGGGCCAAAAAAAACGCTGCCCATGTGCAAATAATATAACCATTGATTGGTGGAATTCTATGATACTGATAAATGGAATTTTATGATAAGTGGAATCCATTTCATTTACCTTTTCATTGTAACCAGTATATGTAAAAACTTCTGGACTCATATAATACGGTGTTCCTACCCACGCTTTTATTTCTTCCTCTGAATTATCTAATATTCTGTAAGTGTTTAAAACAACATTACATAAACAACATAACATAAACAACATTACATAAACAATATTTCTAAAGATAAACAACTTGCTGTAACAACAGATGCAACAAAGGAATATCTAGTTATTCCGTTTCGAGAACATGAATTTGCTCATTCAAGTCTGCCGATAATATATTGGAATTGTTGAGATTATGGTGCTACCCTGATAAAATTACCCAAGTTGACTTCCGTATTTAAATTTTATATTAGTAATATTGTACCATATTTTGTGTTTAAATCTTACATTTTATCATACATGTATATTGTGTTTAAAGTTTACGTTTTATCATATTTTAAATCAGTATCATTCGAACCTAGGACTTCCCAGTTAGTGAGCCAGTGTCATTCTCCACAAGCAATTTGACTCCCTGTGTTTCATAGGACAAATTGTTATTCCACAGCTCCGGCACGGATCCAGGCAGTCTTAATTTCGATGGCCTGGGCCCAAAATAGTAGGAAATGGCATCTAAATCGTTCTGTTTTGAAAATTTTCTAAGGTAGTCCTTAAGGTAGGCGGGGGGGGGGGGGGGTTGGATGGCTGAATGGTTAGCGTGCGCGCGCTGTATCATAAAGTCTGTCATTGAGTCGACTGGCGTGGTTTCGAATCCCCGGTTGTACTTGGTAAAGAGTAGGGTCACCTGTCCAACCTCGTGGGTTTTCTCCGGATCTTCCAGTTTCCTCCCACTGCTAAAGACCCCTACGCGCAAGCGAATTATGTAAATAAAATTTTTAAAAAAACATATGTTCGTCCCGAAATGACCTAGTTTGTGTTGAGTGGACGTTAAACCCCATTTCTCTCTCTTTAAGGTAGGCGGAAAAAAAAGTTGACAGAAGATAATACAAGAAATTACTTAGGCTTCAATATGTATGGCAAATGAACAGCAAGTAACAACAAATACATTCTGAAAATGGGCCCTCCCTCAATTTAGTTATATGACAAACACGACTTCTAAAAATAGATTTTTTATATCTTGGGGTATTTCCCTGTGAATACATTGTTTTGAGAAGGATTTGAAGCAAATTTTTGATAGATTAATTAGTTTGAATATGTTTTTAGTCCAAATATATCATCAAATAGCCCAGATTGTACATGGGGAGGTATCTTTAAGTTAGTGAAGTTTGATCATTATATAAGTAGGTACAAAATTCATACTAATTACACCAAAGTAATTACACTATGATTGGGTGTGCCATTTAACTCAACAGCTAATTACATCTACTTGCACTGGATCAAAATACGTTCTGTAGACATTGAAATACAAATATCTACATGTTCTAACATTTACCATGTTTATCTATAGATGCCTTTAACCATAGTTGTTTACAATTTCTTGACATAGAACAGTTTTACATGGTACGCACATGTATGTCATTTTATTCAGACTGAATAATTTAAAGTACAACCAACTGGTTCGCTTGTACTGACACTTGATTTAAGAAATAAAATATGTCGAAAGTCCCATGGTACATGTAAGAGTGAGAGAATTCAGCTTTACTTAAAGGCCCTTTATAAAACTAACGAATCAAACCTTGACTAAAAGCCCATTAAGGTAAAAAAAAAAAAATTCTTGTTGTTGTTATTCTTGGAGGAGACCCTCTTCGAAAAATGCTCAGGGCTCCGCCAATAAATTATGATTGACATGAAACTTGGCATGCTTGTTCCTTGGACAACTGTGCATCGATATGATGCAACAATTCCAAGATGGCAGCAATGACAGCATGATCAGTTCTTTGTTGGTCCATATAGTACATTCTATCAGATAATATGTAACCTAATAACTCATGTTCAGATAGTTATTAACCTAATCGCCTGTGTTCAGATAGTACTTAACCTAATTGCCTGTGTTCAAATAGTAATTAACCTAATAGCTTGTGTTCAGATAGTTCTTAAACTAATCGCTCGTGTTCAGATAGTACTTAACCTAATAACTCATACTACATGTACTTAACCTAATAACTCATGTTCAGATACTACATGTACTTAACCTAATAACTCATGTTCAGATACTACATGTACTTAACCTAATCGCATGTGTTCAGATACTACATGTACTTAACCTAATCGCATGTGTTCAGATACTACATGTACTTAACCTAATCGCATGTGTTCAGATACTACATGTACTTAACCTAATCGCATGTGTTCAGATAGTACTTAACCTGATCGCCTGTGTTCAGATAGTACTTAACCTAATAACTCATGTTCAGATAGTACTTAACCTAATTGCATGTGTTCAGATAGTACTTGCATGTAATCTAATAATCGAGAGTTGATTATGGCCTGGATTAAGTTAATAAATGTCTAATTAATAATTTAGATAACATTTCAGGCCTAAAGAAAGACCTGCAATAGGCAGATTTAGCTCTTGCATAATGTATGTTTAACCTAATCGCTCGTGTTCATGGAATCATATTTTAAACCTTATCAGCATTCATTATTGTGCCACTTTAACAACCATGCAATTTAAGGTAATACGAACTCATGCAATACGTGGATAGTTGATAACCTTAAAGAACTCTTAAAAGATATCCAAGGTGTGGTCATGAATATGCCTAACAGACAAACACACACACACAACACACTTACCTTGATAAACCCAAATCACCTAACTTCACATCACCTTTTCTTGTTAGATAAATATTGGAAGGTTTTAAATCTCGATGAATGATTTTCATGTAATCTTTGTGCATCCACTGAAATATACAATAAGTATAATGTATATTCAACTATAATAATATTGATTTACGTGATTGACATAATATAATACATGTATGGTTATACTATTCAAATACAAGAAATACGTGTACCAGGAGCTTTCTGTGGCATGCAGACTGCAGAGGGAACAATGGGCCTCCGGACATCCAGTTTAGGGGGGCACCCACTCAAAGAGCAACATTAAATTAATTTTTTTGCAATTTGAAAATAATACTGTTAACTTTAGTGTACAAGCTGCCCTACATAATTTGAATAATATTTCTATGAGCATAAGGAATAAAATTACGACATTCAGGATCATGTTATATTTATGGATGAGATGAGCATTGTGGTTGCACTACAACTCAGGAGTTTCAGATTAATTAATTACTCAAAACTGCTGTAGAAACTAAACAGTTATAACCCCAACACTCATTATCACATCTAGACAGACCCTTTTAAACTATGTGACAGTTGAAACCCAATAGTTTTCTAGGATTTTCAACGAATTTGAACAGTTTTCCAACAATGGTTTGAAGCTAAATATTAAATACAGAAACTTCTGCTAAAACAACACAACTATGCCTGAGTTGTAGTGTTGAAACATTGTTCATATTAAATAAAGTTATTGTATTCCATAAAAGTTTTTATATATGTATAATCATTGAAATGAAATATACCATATGACCGAAGTATTGTGTTGATGCACAGAAAAACCAGATTCCATTGTATACAACCTACTAATTAATTAATATCTCATCTAAACCACAAGTTATCCATTATCTATAGCTCTTAAGCATGTAAAATATTTCACACCAATAATACATTAGAGATAGACTGTGATGAGTTAGATCAATATATAAGTCTACAATCCTATACTGCTAGACATAGCCTAGGGTATTTACTATATAATATATATATCATATAGTAACAGGTGAATACAGGTGAAATAAAGTATGACATATTCCTAATTCATAATTCAGAAAACTACATTACTTGCAGCAATGTACAGGCTCGGATGAAGCTGGCATATGGCCCCTGGATGAAAATGTCAACTGAATAAAATGCAGCAATAGACCTCAAGGCGACACTTCTCACACCCGTCTTCGTGTAGTATTGATGCAGCGTATTCCACAAAGTCCATGTTTTGTATACAGACTTATTAGATATGCTAATTCAGTCGTAGGATTAGATCCATGTTAGAGGGCATCGAAGTACTCAAAGCGACAGAAGAAGATATCTCTAATAAATATTAGCAGAAATTCTGGTTGCCATGTCAGATATGGTGTTGTCTAATATAAAAAAATTTGATTTGCTGTTGCATCTGTCTGATGAGAATAGGACTGGTCCTATCCATACAACAAGCTGCCCATGCTGTCTGGGAAAAATTTCATTCATAGCACACTGTATGGCTTATGTCCGTCCGTCTTCATTAGCCAAGACGGTGCAGAACAGTAGAACGTTAAACCCTATTTCATTTCATATTCATAAAATCAAAATTTGATTGACCAATATAACTGATGGAATTATATTTTATTGCGATGTTAGTTGGTCAAGATAGGGTTTGAAATTTCCTGTTCTTTTTTTATTTCCCTAAAAACATGGTTCAGAAGTGTTTGATAATTGGCACACAGATTTCGTCCTTGACACGCCTTCCATTATACAGATCTATCAATAACAGCAACTAAACAGTAAACCAAAAAACACACATCTCCATTTCAACAAGTTGGTATCCTTTTTTACATTAACTTGATGACTTCAGCTATTTTTTGTCTATCAAATTGTGTTATTTTTGACAGGTGTCTGTCTGACCTCGTATACATCACAAACTATAAAAACTGTATATTTACCTATAGACCTACATTATAATATATTACATCTTATTGAATAACAATGTCCTGCTTTGTTTGTTCAGTCAGTTTACAATCTTTTTTTATTTCCCTAAAAACATGGTTCAGAAGTGTTTGATAATTGGCACACAGATTTCGTCCTTGACACGCCTTCCATTATACAGATCTATCAATAACAGCAACTAAACAGTAAACCAAAAAACACACATCTCCATTTCAACAAGTTGGTATCCTTTTTTACATTAACTTGATGACTTCAGCTATTTTTTGTCTATCAAATTGTGTTATTTTTGACAGGTGTCTGTCTGACCTCGTATACATCACAAACTATAAAAACTGTATATTTACCTATAGACCTACATTATAATATATTACATCTTATTGAATAACAATGTCCTGCTTTGTTTGTTCAGTCAGTTTACAATCTTTTTGTCGAGTGAACTTTTTTTATTACATGTTATATTTTTTTTTTTGGCTATAGGCCATCACTCGCTTAACAAGAAGATATGCATGAATTTTTTTAAAACGGTACAGTTTGTTAAATTTTTATAAGAAATTATCATGACTCTTGAATGGCAATATTTATTAATAATTTGATAAATTAATAAATTAACACAAATCTCCCCCCCCCCCCCCCAAACCTCCACACACACTTTTTACCCCCAAACTGTGTCTTTTATTAAGTGGGTAACATGCTGTCTCGCTAGCCTGGAGGTCGGGTGTTGAATCACTGCATTGGCCGAGAAAAGTTCATCAAGATTTTCCAGCGTGATTCCCCCCTCCCCCCTTGTCAATGATGCAGGACGGAGGACCTTAAAGGACAGCTGTCTAGTTGTTGGACAAAAAACCGAAGTCCTGTGTACACATTGGCATGCACGTAAAAGATCCCTTGGAATTCGATATAAGAGTAGGCCGTAGTGCCGCTGTCCGGGCAAAATTGTCTTCATTAGTCCACTTCGGCGCAGAACAGTATTACGTTCAACCCCATTTCATTGCATTTCATTAACAAGTTATTTTAAGAAAACTGAATCCTGATGTGGACTGGGTTCAGGCCTGGTCTTCACTCATTCTAGTAATTCAGATGGGATGCAAAAAAATCAAAGCCCACCAGTGAACACATTGGCATACACATAAAAGATAGGAGAAGGGTAATATAGTCTTCAATCCTTTTCTGAGAATATTGTTTATAAAAAAAAAGAAAAAGAACCCTTTACAGTTTGAAATCAAAGTAGAGAGCCAAGAAAAAGTTACTGCCCAGACAAAATTCTCAGTTTTATAAACACTGATCATATATTACTAAGATCAATATATAAGTATCTTTTAACACAAGACCAACCAATTAAACATTATGCACAGATTTTTGTATAAATCCTGTCACACTATTCATAATAACTTGTAACAATGTAGATGTATGTTAATATGAATATTATGTTAATATTATATTTTTATCACGACTCGACATTAATGTTCAAACATGAATATTATAATTTTAATATGTGTATCATCATAGTGTATACTTGAACCATATACATTGTAATGTTTAAACATGAATATTATGATTTATATGTATCATCATAGTGTATACTTGAACCATATACATTATAATATGGCAGACTATTATATTAACATTTGATCATCGTCAGGTCCTTCTCACATGGGTGTGGGGGTGGCTGAATGGTTAGCGTGTGCGCGTTGTATCATATTACACCTGTCATTGAGTCAAATGGCATGGTTTCGATTCCTGGATGTACGTGACAATTACGCAAGCTAATTTTTAAAATAAAATTGAACCATATGTAAGCCCCAAAATGACCTAGTTTGTGTTGAGTAGATGTTAATCCCCATTTTTTCTCTCTCTCCAAAAGTCGGAATTAAATAGAATTAGTTAATCAAAGAAGCCAATTTATGTCGCTTATGTCACCACTAAATGGCAAACACGATAAATATTAAATGACAGATTTCGAGTCAATTTATCATAAATACGATAAGAAATCAATCAATGGGGTCTGAAAATACCAATAATTTATCAAATATCAGTGGATTATTGAAACCTTTATCATATCGTTATTTACTTTATATAAACTTTACACCGCCCATCAATAGCTGTCATACTTCATTGTGGAAAGATTTTCATATTGTTTACATGGGTGGTCATTTAGTCCTACACACAAACCAGTTTTTGGTAAATTTCAAGCTGATAAGGACTATCTTGTGTTTATAGTTAACTGAGAGAGAGAGAGAAAGAGAGAGAGGGAGAGAGAGAGAGAGAGAGGGAGATGGGGTTTAACATCCACTCGACACAAACTATGTCATTTTAGGACTAACATATGGTTCAATTTTATTTCAATAATTCACTTGTATGTAGGGGGTCTTTAGCAGTGGGAGGAAACCAGATGAATGTCCAGAATATTTCAAGAACCCAGTCCTCTTGAGAGTTTGAAAGACTTTGACCTTGATGTGTGAAGCAAAATCCAATTGGGAAATTGAAAATTCAACTTAAATTAAGCATGATTACCATTAGCCCACTACGATTAGGAAAATTGAAAATTCAACTAATATTTAAGTCTGATTACTATTAACCCAGTACTATCTTCTAAAGCTTTCAATATTCCCATGTATTATAGTTATATATATACAGTAAAGCGTTACTCAGTACAAACATATTATTGAAGTATTACCATTTGAAGGTCAATGTAATTCTATTATATACTATTCAAAAAAAGTAGGGGATATTTGATTTTGGGGGCATAATACTAAAATATGCAAATGACTACGAAAAAAGTCACTATAGAACCTAACAGAAGAAACATTTCCAGTTACATGTGACGCCCAAACGCACCAATAGCTACCGCATGGAATGCAGGTGATGCTTGGGATCATCATGGGGGTCCAACCCAAGATTTGCACGACTCTGACTTTGAATGTTACAGTCATTGTGGCATTGAATTCCAGGGTGGAAACATCAGTTTAATTGTTTTAGTGACCAGAAAACAAATTTTGATATGCGTCGGCTTACCCAAAATGAAAGGTTACGTGCCCTTGGCATGCTACAGATCGGCACAACACAGGCGCTTGTGGCGCGGACGATGAATGTTTCTCAGTCTGTCATAAGCAGGCTATGGTCCAGATACCGTGATACACAATCTGTA